GCCTGACGATGAATGACCGAAAACGATCGTTTGCCAACACGACTTTTTAAATCGATACATGTTTGCAATAATATTATTAACCGGAGCAAGACGATAGCATCAAGCATAGCAGTGATGTTCTAGTCTTAAGGTAGGTGCCTAATTTTCAAAGACGGAAGGGATTAAATTCTTTCCTTTGCCAGGAGTCAAGTTCCATCTTAATCTATATTGAAGAAATATACTAGAAATACTTTATGATTTTGCGACTTGCAGACAAGGCAAATATGAGTATATTGTAATCAAGTTGTACGGTTTTCTATTGCTCTTCCAGGCATTTTTTTAAATTTTAGACGGAAGGTACATCTATTTATTGGAACTAATTTAAAGACGAAATAAGGATGTAAAGTTCTGCCCTGCAGCTCCAGATTTAGATCTCTGATATTTACCGGAAAGCTTTTTTTCTGAAAATGGCTAATAGATATGACAAGCTTCTCAAAACGCGTAAGCATGACTCTACTGCCTCTTGAAGGCAGTATCCTTCAGCAAAATATGCCTAATTTTCTCAAGTGTACTTAGATTGGTGAATTTTCTGCTTCTTACGTTTGTCAGTTTAAGAAAAAATAATTCTCTCTAGCAAATATTTAAACAGCGTGACTCGAAATGCAGTATTTATAATCCCATGAGCTTTACCCTGCTTCTATATTACGAAACAGGTGTTACTCTTAAAAAAGGCCTCATAAACGTCTAATTTCTGCAGATTAGCTGCCACTGCCACATTCGCCTTCGATGCCTTCTTTGCCATCTATCTGAAAATTATTCACTGTGATCTGTAGCTGAAGGAAACGTTCAAACAAAGGGAACTTTCCGAAATATATTAATGCCAACATTACTGCTGGTTCTAAAAGCAAACATCCCTGATGTTGATGAAAATTTCTTTTTCCATTTTTTTATCCAAGGCTTGTCAACTAGAAAGTCAATTGAGCATTCTGCCTTCTACTGCAATATTAGGGCTTAAACATATTTTGTACGTTAATGTCGATTTGTCATTTCATGTACTTGTAACTTATACCACTCATTATTCATATTTTTGTGACAGCAACACCCGCCTGGTTAAAATTAAGATTTGAGATCCAACGAACAATGGAATAGGCACCACTTGAACGAAGCTTTAATCTGAAAAATGATCGGTGGTTGCTGCCTGAAGCACTTTTGTAGCCGTGTGCTGTTCACGCATTCTTGTTAGCAATCGCTTCAGTTTTCATTCTGTGGCTGTAAGAAGGAAATTTTCAGACATACCACCAACTATATGCCCTTTTACATTCTAACATCAATCTGATATTGTCCTGAGTGAACGTTTTGTCTCTATTTGCACGACTGTGCTGTCTACCACATTTTGACAAACTTCCCCGTACCTTCAGGCAAAAGCGCATTACTGATACCGGCCCCCAATCAAGTATTAAGTGTGATGTCTTGCACAATCTCTTGGAATCATGCTTAAGACTAGAGGACAGTAACTCTCGATGCAGGGCTAGCCAGTACTTGCCATGGTTATTCAGTGGCCTAGCGATAGTATCCTATAAATACCGCGACTCTATGCACCAATTACCCTTATTAAATGCTGTCTCTGTGGATAGGTTATAACTGGAAAGGTTTAGTGACGTGACCATGTATACATCTTCACAAGTTGCATTCACTTGTGTTTTATTGCTGCAATCCTCCAAGTAGAGTGGCGTTACTTATTCCTGCAGAAAATAACTACAGGGCCGATTTATACCATCTCATGCGGATGAGCTATAAACATTCTAAGCGTGAGAATATAAGAATATAATCAATTGAAATTTGCTGTGCACAGTGCGTGCCTAATCATCCGATCTCAGACCACCAATGCTTACTTGTTTCCGCTGCCAGTTCAGTTCATCCAGAGCCGCCTTATCCTCGTGAGCTCGTTTACGTAGAGCAAAGTCAGTGGCCCTCGCCTGTGCCTCGAGTTCATTTTCAGTCTGATTCATGACATAGAAGATGGCCTCTCGAAGTCGTTCACTAGCGCCGACCTCGGCCTCAGTTCGCTGCCAGTTGTAACGCGTGAAGTCCTCCCATTGTTTCAGCGTTGTAGTGCTTAGAATACAAATTGTTTCCAGGTCATTTCTAGAGCACTTGAATTTTATCTTTGAAGAAAATGGGTGGCAAAAAAGCAACAGCCTACATAATCAGATGACAGATAGTGGTGGAGTAAAAATGTTTGCCTAGAAGTCTGCTAGAATCGCTTTAAGTAAGATGGAGAATCTGCATTCCAGACAATCTCTGCGATACAAGATTGTAACAGGGGATATCTGCATAAAAGTTGAAAATTTTCGGGGCACGCATTATTCTTCCAAGACCTAGACGCCTCTCTTAGAATATACATAGGTTTGAGATAATTTCTAGGGCATTTGAACTCTAGCTTTAGAAGGAAATGAGTACTGCATAGTAGTAAAGAAGCAACGACCGGTGGGGCAAAAAGAGTGCTAAGATGTCCGCAAAAACGTTCTTGAGTAAGGCGGACGGTTTGTATCTCTGACCCATTAAGACTAATTCAGAGATAAAAGGACCTAAGACCTAGGTGTCGATTATTTTTCTACGCCTAAAATGAGCAGTCTCGCCTAACCGTTTTCTTATCTTGCATTATCCGTTTTATGGTAATTCCCTAAATTGGTTAGACGGCAGAACTGTTGATTGCCTCCGTCAGTAAAAGCATGTAAAAGGATCGAAGAGTCTCAGAACACACTATGGTTATCGACCATTGTCATATAGATCAAAAATCACTTTTGGCTACCTGAACCACCTCAGGACCTTTCTGAAAATAGTTAAACCGATGCGTTTTTTATGTCTTTCACAAATCTCATACTCGGACCTTAGAAGTGCAGACTTCCGTTCAACATCTCTAAGACGTAAGGGTGGAATTATTGAACAGAACAAGAACTTCGATTAGTGCAATGTGCACGCCACGGAAACCTCTACGGATTTTGGAGGAAAAATATTTTCGGAACAGTGTTAATGCTGACTTTCCACCATTCAAAATGGCATCCCCAAGGCAGATAAGTAGCAAAGAGCAATAACCGAAACAATTCATCTGTCGTCCTTCCACTGTGGGTGAGATCAAAATGATGTCAAGTATAATATCAATCTAATAACTACAGTAGTAGCCGGTTATTAAGCCCACGGTTACTAGGCCCAGCCGCGTATTAAGCCCAAGTCAGCTTGGGACGGAATTTATATAGCG